CTGACCCACATTTGGTTCTTTCAGTAGTTTACTTTCGATCAGGTATGTAACTAAGACAGGCAGAAGTTTCTCATTACCAAGTTTTCTTTCTAAGCTACAGTGACTCGCATGACCAACTTTAAGTTCTCTGAGCTATAGCAACAGTAATTTAATTAGACTTCTGGTTTAGTTAGATGTGAAGACAAAGTTATCCGCACGAAGCACGTTGTGTTTTGTGGCCTTTCTCTTTTTCCAGATGGAGCTAGCGATTGGCCACAGGACCACAGAAATGGACATTTGTGTTCATTCATGGTCTCTAAAATGTGTGGACCTCAGACTCTAATATGGTAGGCAATAAATGCATGGATAAATCTTACCATCAGCTGTCAAGGTGGATGTGTTTCAGAGAAGGTAGTACAAGCTGTCCCCTAATTTCTACCATAATGAGTCCCTGAAAACCAATTTGGTTATAAATGCCAGCCAACGATTCCCTGCTGCCCACAGCTTCCCTACTGGGGGCAACAAATGGCTGTCAGTGCCATCTGGGACATTAGAAATCACTGTTCAACAGGTGATGAACGGAAGACTGTGAGTGTGTCGGTGAATAATGACGTTGGGATGTGGTATGAGGAAGTCTACCTTAAATCGAGACCACCCATTTTAGTGTGGCTGGGAGGAGCGGGGGGGCTCTCTGACCTGTCCTGGAACCTTCTGTTGCATCCCGTTAGCCGGTATAATGGAAGAATAAACTGACATGGTCTATGTATACTTTTTATACCACTCTTTTATATATCCCTTTTTCAAAATAAAAATAACTTCTGTAGTTTTTATTTTTATTTTTATTTTTTTTTAAGATTTTATTTATTTTTTTGAGAAAGAGAGAGAGAGTGAGAGCATAAGTAAGGGGGAGCAGCAGAGGGAGAGGGAAAAGCATGCTGAGCAGGGAGCCCGTTGTGGGGCTCGATCGCAGGACCCCAGGATCATGACCTGAGCTGAAGGCAGATGCTTAACTGACTGAACCACCCAGGCGCCCCTCATAGAGATGTTTTAAATCAATGCATTTGCTTTAGGGATAAGGCAAAGTTATAGGCCCCAGTTGTAAGTCCTATAGTTGTGAATTCTCTGCTCTGTACAGTCACTGAACCCTCAGCAGAGCTCAGTTAGCCTTTTTTAGCCTCAGTTTCCCATCATATAAAATGGAGCATTATCAGAGGCTTTGAAGAGAAAATGTTTTGAAAACCTTGGAGTACCGTATATGTGATTTATGTCATTTCTTTTTTTTTTATTTTTTATTGTTATGTTAATCACCATACATTACATCATTAGTTTTTGATGTAGTGTTCCATGATTCACTGTTTGTGTATAACACCCAGTGCTCC